GAAGAAATAAGCAATTTACTTGTTTATTTCGGTAGATACTTTCTCGGAAATAAAAAAAAAAACTGCTTACTTCTGTCAATTGGCTTTAGGGAAAATAAACGCTCATATTCTCTTACTATTAATACTAAAAAAAGATGCTTATTTCTTTAATTCAAAAATAATTCTTAAATAATTCTTAATATTTGCTATAATAAAAAATAATCAACAACAATGTTTTTTTCTAATTTTAGCCCTAACCACTACCCCTTGGCCCTTACTGTTATCGTCATTCCCATTCCCTAACCCTAAGATCTACCCTTGTAGAAAAAGTTTTTAGCCCTATCCCCCAGCTCTAATCCTAATTCAAATTTAGATAACGAGCTAATAAATATGACATGTAAACAAAAAAGATACAAAAAGTGCAACAACTCTACTTTTCAGAAAATAACACATAACCCTAAACCAAACTCAAACACTAAACTTAACCCTACCAGACATCTATTCAACCTCAAAAACAGTTAAACAAGTTACCATCAAATCCAATGGCCAGCAAAACCTTCCAGGTCACAAATTACGCAGTCTCATCAGCCCACACCACATGATGCTCCTGAACCCACAATGTATTATGTGGTCTTTGTAAGGGTCTTCCTGATTATGTAGATTATTTCATCGAAGTTTAGATACTTCTGGGGATGATAGTGCTATATGTGCAGCTTTAATTTCTTTTACTTGTGGGTGTGTTATGTTGCAGTTTGGTACATGTGAAGGCAATTTCATTTAGATGCTTGTGTGCGTGTTGCATTTCCCTGTCGGCGTGAATTACTTTGTCGTGAAATTCAGTTACCGCGGTTAATGTTTAGCGCAGTATCTGCACTTTGTGTTGTTGTGTACTTGGTTTACTAGTTATTTTCGTGGGATTTTAGGGTAATTTTTTTCCATTGTTATGGTAGAGCTACTGGTCTAATGTATTTGTTCTATGATATGAGTGTCTTTTCGTTAAATTTGGTTGTGGTTTCTTGGTTTTGGGGTAAAATGGTCTTGAACTTTCTTTCCTTTTGTGATTTAGTTTTGTCATTCCTTTTAAGAGGTGTTGTTAGTTTAACTAGACTTTTCGAGCTACTTGATTGCTGTATGACTTTTGGTATTAGGATATTCTTTTTGTCTCTTTGATTTGGGTGATGTTTGGGTTATCTTCTTTCCCTTTTTGTGGTGCTGCTGTTTTGGTGGGTGTTTCGTGCCCTGTATTAGTAATTTTTTTGTGTGTTTTTGTTATCTTCCCTTGCCCGGATGTGGAGCTGTTTTCATTTTTCCTTTATATAAGTGTTGTCTGTTGTTAGTTGGGATTGTGGTTTACTGGTGTTTGCTGCTGTAGCATTGACTTGTTCTATTGTTGTTTTTCAAAATAAATGTTACTTGTCACTTTTTAAATATAAAAATACCGTGAACTCGGCTCATGTATGATAATAACTGCATAACTTAGCAGTGTGTTCGAGGAATGAATTCATATTGTACACGGTTTCCATATAACCAAGTGAAAATGACAACTTCAGATCGTTGAGCTCCAGCAACATGATAAAAAAAATGTGCCCATGTGTAATTTAACAACAATCTATATCAATTATCCAGAATATATATATATAATTATATATATATATATATATATATATATATATATATATATATATATATATATATATATATATATATATATATGTAATTTACAATATACAGCTATAATAAAATAGCCCTCGCAATATGATGTAAGAAAAGATGCTAATGTTACAATCAACTATATGGTATTTTGAGTGCAACAGCGTATGCTACTTCGTTAACAAAGTTTAGGTGTATATTTATTTCATTTGAGTTTTATTAACGTCATACGAATTTGTGGGAAAAAAAGGCGGGTTATTGAATTTCAAGAATTTAAAAATCACTTTCTGAAAATGCAAGTAAAAGAAAATTGCAGATACATGTTCAAGAAAAATAACTTTAAGGAAATTTCAAAGATTACCAAACGGGGAATCCCCATTCGATTTTTTAAACTACCGACCCTTTCCTCAAAAACTGTGAGACGTTCAGATCAACAAGACATGTTAGCGGGATTGGAATGTTTGGCGCGAAATTGTTTCCATATTGTCATTCACGTAGGCTTATTTAATTAATATTTAAAGTGATGAAATTTTTTAAAATATACTATACACACGGTATTTAACTATCTAGTAAGTATTTTTGAAAATTAGTTTTGAATTTATGTACGTTATTTGAACGTTATGTCATTTAAAGCTATGTATTCAATGTATATATATATATATATATATATATATATATATATATATATATATATATATAGGGAGAGAGAGAGATTTATATATATATATATATATATATATATATATATATATATATATATATTAATTTATATATATAAATATATATATATATATATAATATATATATATATATATATATATATATATATATATATATATAATGCATTTGTATAAGTGAAAATGTCTTGAGTGTTTGATTGTTTGTTTGTTTGTCTTTGATGTGATCGCCGTGAATTAAATGTATATATATATATATATATATATATATATATATATATATATATATGTAACACATATGGTTACCAGCCAAGGGGGATAACAAATGAAGTTTTGATTCATTGAGTTGCGGCCCCTGTCGGGCTGTGGCCCTGTGGACGTAGTTTCTTTTTTCATGCTTTTGTGAGCGATGTTACCTGTGTTCCATGTCATGTGACATGGGACTGTGGGTAGTTTCATGCCTGGCCGTGTCAGTCACACACAAGGCTGCTGTCTGTGGACACAGTGACCAAGATGTAGACCTAATGAAGGTAGTTATATAAATTATGTTTGTTAAAAGACTTATTTGTATATTCCTGCTAGTGCTGCATGTGCACACTAGTTAGGGTGAGTATTAATATAAGTATTTATTTGTAGTACTACTTATTGGTACTTGTTGGCAGTACTGTGTACTGGCCAAAACATATTTTATTATACCCGTGTATATTGTAGCCTACACATGGTGTTGTAAGGAATGTAACTTTTTTTTTTAATTTACATTTGTTTTAGGGCTACAGTTTTGGTTTTGGTTTTTTCTTGTTGGCTAGTTTGTTTTGTACTACTGTGTTGCATCGCCGTCATGGCTCGATGCTGTAAATAAAGCGAGTACTTGACAACAAATGTCTTGAGTGTTTGATTGTTTGTTTGTTTGTCTTTGATGTGATCGCCGTGAATTAAAGTATTCTCGTTGGGAAAACCCCTGTGTCTATTTTAGCCCCTGATCTGTTGTCCGTTTATATGGTGGGCTACACACATAATTCGGTACAGATTGAATCAACGCTGAAAAACTATTGGATGAGCCAGCGCACTCTGGGCACCTGTCGGGCCATATGGCACTTACTTTAATTGCAAACAGAACCAATAACTAGGCTTATGGCGGTCTAATACGAGAGAATGACGCTTTCCTGAAAGACACTTGCGGCTTTCGGGCAATGCGTCCCATTCAGGCAAGTGTCCATGGGGGTAGTTATCACATTCGGTCAAGTGTACGTTCGGTTCCATAACAAATGATCTCCGACAAAATATAACAGACAAAATCTTACAGACAAAATATAACAGACAAAATATTACAGACAAAATATTACAGACAAAATATTACAGACAAAATATTACAGACAAAATATTACAGACAAAATATTACAGACAAAATATTACAGACAAAATATTACAGACAAAATATCTCACGGACTAAAGATCTCAAGACAAATGCCAGTCAATAAATGAATGTTCAGATCAACTAAAATAATCCAATACACTATTACAATTTTGCTGTGAGATATTTTGTCTGAGATATCTTGTCTGAGATATTTTGTCTAAGATCATTTGTCCTGATATATTTTGTCCTGGTATGTTTTGTCCGTGAGATAATTTGACCTTGAGATCATTTGTCCTGAGATCGTTTGTCATGAGATCATTTTTCCGTGAGGTATTTTGTTTGAGATATTTTGCCTGAGATCATTTGTCCTGTGATTATCGCATTTACGCAAGTGTCCATTCAGTTATTTATCGCATTTGGGCAAGTTTCCATTCGGGTATTTATCGCATTCGGTCAAGTGTTGGTTGTGGCGTTTGTCGTATTTGGGCAAACATAAAAACTATTTATGGGATGAGTGATGGGAAAGTAACAAGATTTCTGTTTTACAATAGAGGTGCTGTGATACATAGTGTGAAAACTGCTGAACAACCGTTAACATTAGACAACATCAAATTGCACATTACGTTTATAAAACACCCTATATTGACTTTATAAAACCTAGGACTATGACTGGACGACTTTTTCTGTTGATTTCTAACACTACAGTTGTAGAACTTACATTATCGATTTACGTGAATCAGTCATAAGTTTATAGTAACCAATTTGTTTCTTAGCAAAATACCTAACTAAATGTTTATTGTAGCCCACTTTGGTTTGACATTTAAATCGTTTTTGCTATGCGACAGCCCTATAGGTAATTAGCTAGCACAAAAAAATAAAAAATAAAAAAAAAGTAACTTAGCAATCTTAAAATAAAGTGCAAAATAGTTTTGAGTTGTACATTCAAAAGACTGCTCTCTTCTGATTGTATTGGCCAAAGAACACATTTAACTTGTACAAACTTTCTCATCAAAACAATTGAAGCTTCAATTGATGTACAGTAGTACTTGCATACATTGTCGAGTAAGACAAATTAAACGTTAATTGTATTCCTTTTTTTTAGCTCACGTAAAAAATAATTTATGAGCTCTCCTCAGCCTAATTGGTATACTGTTGTTAGGTATTTGTTAGCAATAACATATTTGTGGTATTTGTTTACGTCTGTAGATGATTTTTACACTTGTATTGCTAGAATTGTAATAATTAAAACTTTAATTTTTTGCAGAATGTCTTCTTTTTAAACATGATTAAGTTTATTTTCTTTTTGAATCTATTCAATTTCAGCAAAATACTTCACCAAAATGGATGCATCGGATAAACATACTTTACAGGAAATAAAAATAGCTATAAGTCTTCATAATTTAGTTGATCTTGAACAAGAAATTAGAAAAATAAAAAATGTAAAATTGCTGGAAAAAATTCGGTTAACTTTTGTTTCAACAGCAGGTAAAGGTAAATTGGATGTAGTGAGAATATTACTTACACATGGAGTTGATGTAAACAGTAGAAACAGCAACAGAAAGACAGCGTTAATAAAAGCTTCAGAACATGGACGTCTGGACTGCTGGAGCACAAGGCTGATGTGGACTTGATAGACAAAAACAAAAAGTCAGCCCTGTGTTATTCTGCAAGAAAAGGTTTTGTTGAGATTGTAAAGCTGCTTATAGATAATGGCGCTGATATTAATTGTACATCGTTAACTACACCACTACATGAATCTTGTAAACGTGGATGTTTTGAACTAGTGAAAATGTTGGTAAAAGCTGGAGCTGATGTTAATAAAAAGGATAATTATGAAGACTCCCCACTATGTATATCAGCTCAAAGGGGTAAAATCGACATAGTACAATTTTTAGTAGAAAATGGTGCGGACGTTAATATAGGTAAATCTCCTCCTCTATTTTATGCTTGTGACGAAGGTTATTTTGAAATTACAAATTATTTAGTAGACGCTGGAGCTGATGTGAATTTATTGAATTCATATAAAGAATCTGTGCTCGGTAAATCTGTTTTTAAAGGACACTTAGTTATTGTGAAGTTTTTACTAGAGAAAGGTGCCAATGTCAACTACACAGTAAGTCCATATGGAGAAACGGCTCTTTTTTGTGCAGCAAGTAGAGGTCACTCTAACATTGTAGAATTGTTACTTCAATATGGCGCTGATGTCAACTATACATCTGGTACAACTGGAGAGACGGCCCTTTTGTGTGCAGCAAGTAGAGGTCACTCTAACATTGTAGACTTGTTACTTCAATATGGCGCTGATGTCAACTATACATCTGGTACAACTGGAGAGACGGCCCTTTTGTGTGCAGCAAGTAGAGGTCACTCTAAGATAGTAGAATTGTTACTTCAGTATGGCGCTGATGTTAAACAGGTTGACATAGAAGGGAATACCGCGTTAAACTTATCATTACTACATACACATGTAAATACAGTTGAAATTTTAGTACATAATCAATTTATTTATGGCGGAAGAAGTATAAATCAAGCAAATAAATTAGGACAGTCATCGTTCATGTTAGCTGCTATAAAAGGTCTATATAAAATAGTTTGTGAATTAAAAAAATACAGTGATTCTTCTGTGTTTGATATAGATGGCAATACAGCTTTGATGTTAGCAGCCATGAATGGCCACCTGGACATTGTAGAGTTACTGTATGACGGTACTGTGGATGTTAACTTTAAAGGACAAAACGCTCTCATGTTAGCAGCTATTGGTGGACATGCTACACTTGTAGAGTGGCTGATTTATAGAGGGTTTAATGTCAACAAAACAGATCACCATGGTAACACGGCACTAATGATGGCTGGTAAACCAAAGGTTGTTGAGGTGTTGTTAAAACATGAAGCAGATGTTAATGTGAGTAACAGCAAGGGAAGAAATGCACTGATGGAACTTTTGTCAAATAATTATTTTAGGTCTCCGCACTATCTACACGACATCCCACAGGATTTACACAGTTCAAAACTAACCATTATGGAAAGGTTATTACAGCTGACTAACGATTTAAATGTAAGAGATAATAGTGGTGAAACAGCAATTATAAAAGTTGTAAAATACAATTTAATTTAATTAATCAAATTTTAGATCATCATCCTGATGTCAATATAATAGACAATGAAGAAAATACACCTCTAATGATAGCTGTAAAAAATGAAAATGTAGATATCACAACACGAATACTCTCTTGTACACACGATGTTAACTATAAAAACAGGCTGGGTAAAACAGCGCTAATGTTGGCTGTAGAAAAGAAATCATTGGAGTGTTCCAAGCTACTTCTTGCCAACAGTAATGTAAACGTTGATGACGTAGAAAATGACGGGAATTCAGCTCTTATGTTGGTTATTAGGCTAGAGTTCGATAGTTGGTCATACTTTATTCATCCACCAAGTGATATAATACAAGAGCTACGTCGTCACGGCGCTGACGTCAACCATGTCAACAACAACAAAACCTCGGTGCTCATGTTGGCAGTAAAGAGGAGATTTATACCGGCAGGAATTTGTGGGGACATTGACATGGGGGATAGTGAAGGGAAGACGGCGTTAATGTATGCTGTAGAAGCATTGAATAATGGTGTTGTAGTGCGGCGATTGTTCGAACATCACAAGGCTGATGTTAACGTTGTTGATAACATGGGGAAGACGGTGTTAATGTATGCTGTACAAGGACACAGTGATGAAGATGTAGTGAGGCAATTGCTGGAACATCACAAGGCTAATGTTAACGTTGTTGACCGTACAGGAGAAACAGCGCTGATAAAAGCTGTTAAAAACGGTAGAAAAGATCACGTCAAAGTCCTGTTAAAGCATAAAGCTGACATTTACATCCAAGACAAACAAGGTCGGACGGCGTTAATGTGGGCTGCTAAAGGATATTCGAATTAATATTCTAGTCGTGATATTACCGAAATATTACTAGAGACTGAACCATTAGACCAAAGCACACACCAGGTCAGTAGTCACATGTCAGCTTTAGATCAAACAGATAATAAAGGACGAACAGCAATAATGCTGGCTATTAAAAATGGTGACTTAGAAGTCATGGAACATTTGTTGGGAAGAGGAGTTTGTGTTTCACAGATTGATACTGCGGTAAAGAAAATCCTCATAACAGCAATAACACGGGATACAAAGATTCGTTTTAAACTTACTGCATCTGGAATCCATTGTTATCTGGATTTTTCATCAATCTACCCCAAAATGCGTAAGCTTATTTTGTCTAAAGCAAAAGAAGTAATATATTTTGATCTTTTCGATAAAAATAGTAACACATTACTTATGTTGTATGCCAAAAACGTGCAAAGGAAGATTTCCAGTAAATATACAAAAATCCTTTTTGAAATAAAACAGGATATAAATGCTGTAAACATGTACAACAAAACAGCTTTAATGATAGCCTTAGAAAACAGAAAATACGAGTTTATAAAACAAGTCTGTAAACTTTACAAAGAAGATGATGTTGTGTGTCCTAAAGGTAGAACTTTACTCATGATGGCGGCACAATCTGGTTTAGTTGACACGGTGAAAGATTTGGTCAGTAAAGGGTCAAAGGTCAACCAGGTTGACAAGAAACAGAGAACAGCACTCATGTATGTTTTATATTTTAAACCTCAACTTTTTGAGCTTGCATACAAAGCGTTGGAACTGATAGAATATTTGTTATTTCAACATGCGGATGTTAATGTTTCTGATTACAAACATGAAACTATGTTAATACATCTTTTGAAACATAAAGTCAATGATCTTATTCTGCCTATCATCAAACATTTGCTAAACAAAAATGCACAAACTAATGTCATAGACCGAGATGGCAGGTCTCCGCTTATGATAGCTATCATACAATTAGGTCTAATAAATCAACGACATAACAATAGATTTAAGAGTATAGACATACACATGCATATTAAACAGCTCAATCATGTAGTGCATCTCTTCATAGAGAAAACTGATGACGTCAACAGTTCCGACAACAAAGGTAACACAGCTCTAATGTTGGCATCTAAATGCGGGTTTAATAATGTGGTCCAGCTTTTAACAAAGAAGACAGACGACATCAATAGGGTCAACAAAAAAGGTCAAACAGCTAATGACTTGGCATTAAAGAATGGACATTACAGTGTGGTGCAGACTTTGGTAGAAAACAAAGCAAACGTTAACACTAACAATGTTTTAGATTTTGCCTCGTTTTTTTCTGGTTTACACAAGTTACATCAAAGATCAGTTTTTTTAAATAACGGCACTCGTGAAATAGAATTATGGACAGCTTTTCTCAATGAGTTGGATCAACAGTCAGCTTTAGCCACAAATAGAGGAGAAAACTCGACAAGTCATATTTACACTTCTGGTGAGTTAAAATATATTTCATCCAAAATAATGATTTTTGTTTCCTTCTTCGTTCTTATTTGTATAATTAAAGAGAAACTGATCCAAAAACAATCATGTATGACCTCTCAACCTGTCTTTTTGAATAAACTTCCATATTTTATCCAAGAACAATGTTACAATGTGCAAGGCAGCATTATTTTAATTTTGGAGTTTTCCTCCAAGATGGGATGTAGTCCATACCTAGAGATCTAGTCTGTTTAGTAGTGAGTTTTGTATTCAGGACTATTAGCGTTACCGATCATACGCTCACAAGCCATCCTCTAAATTAAAAAAAAAATTAGATCAAACTCACACAAATAAAATATAACGAAGCATTCAATTTATATCGGACTTTTAGTTTTGAGATAGAAAAATTACTTTTGTTTTAAAAATGTAAACAATTATGCTGTAACATTTCTGTTTCATTGCAGCACGTTTAACCTGTAGTTTTCTAACCCACTAACATTTTCATTTACCTAGTCGTTAATAAATACTGTTTTATACTTGGCGTCTTATTATTTTCAAAATACCGCTATAATAAATGAGCATATTATTTACAAACCAGCAGGTTTAAATAAATGTAAAAGATACACGGCTCTTGATCTTGTTCAAAAAAGTAACTCAAGGTAAGATTTTTAAAAGATTTCGTGTTGGTTTTGTGAAAGAAATCTTTGATTTTTATGGGTTGTATTGTAATATGTTGGCAAAACTACATGTATTTTCTCTTTTGTTTTGTGGCTTAGAGATTTGGATTTAAATTACGGTAGACAATTGTCACAAAAATAAGTGTATAGCTATTTGAAATTCCGATTTTGAAAAATTTAAAAGAGCAACTTATCAGAAATTTAGCATGTCTGAAAATACTTTTAATTTAATATTTTCAATATTACAGGATAATTAATTTCAAAGAATTACTAAACAAGATTTACGAGGTATACAATGAAAATTTATATTTCACAATTTAAATTCAAATACGTAAAATATTTGTATCGCCAGTTTGTTGTATTATGAAAGCAGAACTTTACCGATGTGCATATAACAGTATGATATATTTACTGTTTAGCCAGGAGCTGAAATAGTTTGGGATGTCGTAAATAGAACAAGAGAACACTTCAAAGACGACTATATTTCTGTCTCTAATCTAATAAGGATGTTGTTTTTAGATATTGTAAGACATGGAAAGCTAGAGCAACATGTTTCCTTCTATGCAGGTACAGCATTTTTTGCACTATATATATATATATATATATATATATATATATATATATATATAAATAAATAAATATATATATATATATATATATATATATATATATATATATATATTCTTTTACATTATCACTAATATATTATGTAGCTACTACCTCTGTCGATAGTGATGTTAGTAACGTGTTATTGAAATGCACGTTAATAATTCTTTTATTTAAAAAAAACAAACATATTTTATATTTTGCTGAACTAAATCACTTTATTAACCCTGCTCTAGAACCTTAGAAAAAATCACTTGTTTGGTACCATTGGGTCAATTTGACCCTATGGTAAAAAATAAACTGTATAACCAGAATAATAACAAATAATTATAATTTATCTGTGTTTTTGGCATAATATGATATTACAATGTATTAATACATCCTGGGTTAATTATGTATTCATGTTTTGTAGTCTATATTTAGGATATTTCAAGCAGGAGTAGACCCAATGTTATTGCTGGCATTGGTTGCACACTCGCTTGGTATGTTCTTCGCTCACAAACTGATTGTTCTCATTACAGACTAGTTTGATTTTCTTGTCACATGATCTGGGACAAAATATAACATCTCTTGCGTTGTCCTGAATGAGGTTGTGTGGTGCTTGCTGTTTGTGTTAGTGCATCCACAATGCCGCAGGTACGGATGTTCTGTTTGACATCTTCTGGCGTCTGATTCATTTCCAATCGTTGATATGCATGTGGAGTAACCAAAGCAAGGATCAGTTTCTTCAAGAAATTGTGTCGTTTGTTTTTCTCACGTTTCCCAACGTTGGACATCTTTCGAGTAAAAATAACACAAGCGTTCAAGGCATCACTTTCAATATTTCCATAAAATACCCTCATTGGCCAACGATTTGTTTTTTTTCCCGTGGTATAAAAGCTGTACATTTGATCATGGCTGTCTACACCATCTTTTTCTTGGTTGTAAAATACATTTATTAATTATTATTTCCCAGTAGCTGCAGCAATCTTTTTTTTTTTGATAATGCATGGTGGACAGATTTACGACACTCGTGTTCTTCTTTGGAAAAATGGAGAAGAGAATGTAATCATTCGCAAGATCAAAGGCGTATTGAACTTTTTTCTCTACGGCGGAATGCAGGCTTTGTTTCTTTTTCATCGTACTGTATTCCTGTATTTTATTTCCTTGGCCAAACCAACTGATGTGTAATAGCTATCGTTGGTAATGTTTCGGTTTCTTCCAGAAATTGTTGGAACCAAATCCAAAAACGTTTGGATTGGAACTTGCAGCCCTGGTACATGAGTACCAGCTCTCACATAATTTTTTGAAGAAGCTGAGTAGAATGTTTTGTTACCAGCAAATACGCATATCTTGATGCCGTATTTTTTTGGTTTATAGAACTTAAAGCTACATCTTCCTCTGAATGCAAGGAGAGATTCATTCATTGCGCACCCAATTGTTGGGGTGTAGCTTACTTCACATGTAGTTACAACTTTGCCGAATATGTCGCGAACAGACACCAAGTTGCCATTGTCTCTTCGTCTTCTGATGCATCTTCCAAATATGATTCATTAGCAGTAACTTCACTAGTAACGCCCGGGTCTTCTCTACTTGGTTCATTGTCACTTTCATCCAAAGCTCACACCATTTTCAATGTCCTCGTTTTCAGAGTTTCTTCCAGGCATCTCTTCGGGGGGGGGGGGGGGGGGCGAAGCCCTCCCCAGAATTTTTTACCGCCCCCCCCCCCCCCCCCCGAACGAAATGAAATTTATATAATTTATATAGAAAATATATACTTTTAACAGTGTCCGCCCCCCCCCCCCGAAGAAAGTTTACCGCCCCCCCCCCCGAAAATTTCAAGTGCCCCCCCGGAGAAAAAAGTCTGGAAGAAACACTGCTCGTTTTCACTATTGATGTCACTTAAGTCATTTAAGACCAGCATTATCAGAACATATTTTTCAATTGACCATGTTGTTATGCTGCGCCAATTTGTAGAATATGTAAATAAGTGGGAAATACCATCGTCACATTGTCGATACCATGGGGTCAATATGACCCCAAGCGAAAATAAATAAACATAATAAATAATTGGTAATACCTTAAAATTATCAAACATGTGTAACGTACTTAGGAAGGTCTTACAAGAAATTACATGGCAGGCGAGGTCATTAATCGTGGTAGTTTTTAAAATAAATCGGTCCAAAGAGGGCTTGGGGTCATATTGACCCCATGCTACCAGAGCAGGGTTTAAAGTATAATTGTTCGGGAAGAACTTAATTTAATGATCAATCATAGAAATCATATTTTTCTTAAATACATTGCAATTAAAAAAGTGTAACTGAAATGTTCCTACTCTGATGCAGATGCTTTAACAGATCTCTTTAATAAAGCCCAGACAATGCATTCCAATACACAAAGTTTTATTCTAATGACGGGTTTAAGCATCGTTGAATTTTACATGAAATCAAATTTGGCGTTTTCAGAGGTAATTACAATTTGTATTTCATTAACGAAGCAAATTTTCTGTAGAAACAGAAGTGTACTGATAAATATGTAGAAATAAAAGTGCAATGATAAATATCATACTTCATTATAATTCGAAACAATTTTTTATTTTTTAATAACTAATCATATTTGTTTCTTTGAACTTGACACAGTTTGTCGCAAGAAAAAGAATAGTAGGCATCTTTATCAGAGCTATTGAAGAGTTTCTTAACTGCGAGGTACGTCAATGTTTGACCTATTTGTTTGAGAGGGACAAAAGAGTGAGAGAGGGAGAGTAGAAACCGTGTCATAAGAATAAAGATTAAATTAAATCACAAAAAAAGATACTCAGCAATTTTACATTTAAAAGACGATTTCCTATGATATACACTATCATCTTTGTTTTTAATTTAAAATTAGTTTCATATATTTTAATTAACATCTAATGAAAAAGTAGAGCTAATTTTAAAAAAAAAAATGTATATTTTGGCTGTTTTCATACCTTGTTTTCTGGCTCAAACATATCACCTTAAAATTTCAGCTCTAATAATTCTATATTTTTAAAGTGTTTCTAGAAATTAACGATTTTTGAGTAAGTTTTTCATCAATTCTCTTGACCTGGTAAATTTTATTCTAAGCAACACATTATTTTCTATTTTTTTCCAAGTTTTGCGTTGTAGAACACGTTAATAAATGTATTATAAAAGAAAAAATACAAAAAAAAAAATATATCGACCTGAATACAAGTTAAATGATTATTAATGCTTTGCAGGTCAATGTGCTTCATCACTTTGTGAAAAAAATGTTATGTGTTTTAGCAAATATCTCAATACATTTAGAAGGAGATGAAAGAGAAACAGTTTTGCAGGTTGGTTTGTTCGGGTGTCCGGTCAAAAACCCCCTGGACAAAAACCCCCTGGACATAAACCCCCCGACATAAACCCCCTGGACAAACCCCCCCCCCCCCCGACATAAACCCCCTGGACAAAAACCCCCCGCGACATAAACCCCCTGGACAAAAACCCCCCGCGATATAAACCCCCCGGATAATAACCCCCGGACTGAGGTTTATATAAAGAAAAAATAACGATGATGTGAACCAAGAAATTAAAAACAAATTACATTAAATTAATTTAATTTTTTTACGACTAAGAAAATAGTTTCACCTAAAAAAATGCTTTTCGAAATCAAGGAGTGACCTTAGTTGTATTTGATCAAAGATCAGGCACCGACAACACCTTAGATATAGGTCATCCACATGTGGGAGCCGTGCGGATCAAAGCACCAGATTCTTAACAATTCAAAAGATGTGAGGGATTCACCGGCGGAAGCTTGGTTCATATCCACCTTGGCATACAGAACCATGGTATAAATATAAAATCAAATTTATTTCTCGAAAAATCGTATATTTTCTGGAATGGAGTTCGTTCAATCCAATAAAGGCAATTTAAAGGTGATTTTCGAAGGCTATGTTTATGTCAAGCAAAAAGATCTGGCGAACGGCGTTGTGTCATTTGA